CCGAACGGGCTTCTCTCTGCGATGCAGACAAGGTGTCGCAGGAGCACGTAAGGCCCACGTGAGGGGGTGGAGACGCGCGGCCTCGAACACGCTCATGTGGGTAAGGACGCCGGGAGGCGGGAGCTCATGGGGTGGGTGCAAGGAGACCCGGATGCGTGAGGACGGGTGGGGAACAGACGGCCGTGTGCGGCGGTGACACAATGACTCCCCCACCACGCCCCGCTGCTCACGCCATCGCCTGGACACAGGTTGGGTGCAGCCGGTGGGGACGGGGCTCCCGGCCGTCTCACCTCGACTCCGCCGCACCATCTCCTGTCGCGCTCCAATGGTGCCCAAGATAGCCTCCTCCAGGCGGGCCTTCATGTCCAGTGACTTCTTGAAGGTGAGGCTGTTGATGCGCTCAAAGGCCTTTTTCCCCTGGGGGGCAGAGGACGGGGTTCGAGGTGGTCGCTGCCCTCAGCTAGCTTGGTCCCTCCCTCAGAAGCTCGCTCATCTCTGGGACTCTGGGTTCGAAGACAGCTCCTCCCTTTCCCGCCACCCTCAGCACCTTCCAAATTCTACTCATGGAGGGGGTCCTTAGTTCGTTTTTTTGTTTTTAGAGATTTTTTGCTATACGGTGCATGCACTCGCAGGAGAGACAGAGAGACAGAAAGTGATAAATCACCCCCAGGGGGATGGCTATGCTGCAATCCCTTCTCCTCCATTCTCCTCTCGGGGTTTTTGTACACACAGGCACACGCACCCAGAGCGAATTTGAAGCCACTGAATCCAGCACTTGAACAGTGGTTGGCCACGTGGGAGTCCAGCACCTTAACCACTATGTCACCTACTGGCCCCTCACTTGGTGTTAATTACCAGAGGGTGTGTGTGCCAGGCCAGAGGGCAGGGGATGAAAGCGCTCCCCAAAGGCTGACCATGCCTCAATCCCTTCTCCTCCACCTCTCCCTCTTCTCGGGATTTTGGGCACGTGTGCACGTGCATTGAAACAGACTCACACCAAGCAGTTGGCCATGTGGGATCCAGCACCTTAACCACTGTCTGGTCCAAAATACGGTGATTTTTTTTTTTTTTTTTCTTAAGAGGTTTTTCCTGGGCTTGGCAGGTGGTGTGATGGTTAGGGCACTAGACTCCCATATGGCGTCTCCCTCTTCTCGGGATTTTGGGCACGTGTGCACGTGCATTGAAACAGACTCACACCAAGCAGTTGGCCATGTGGGATCCAGCACCTTAACCACTGTCTGGTCCAAAATACGGTGATTTTTTTTTTTTTTTTTCTTAAGAGGTTTTTCCTGGGCTTGGCAGGTGGTGTGATGGTTAGGGCACTAGACTCCCATATGGCGGACCATGGTTTGAGACCCAGACCTGGCAGCTTTCTTTCTCACTTTCTCACTGCCTTTCTGTGTCTCTCTGGTCAAATTTAAAAATAATAATAAATCAAATTCAATTAAAAAAAATCATTTGTTTTTTTTTGAAAAATAAGTTTTTGCCTTAGGGCACATATACTTGCTGGAGAGAGAGACAGAGACAGTAAGAGAGACAGTGAGAAATCAGTCACCTGAAATCCCTTCTTATCCGTTCTCCTCTTGGTATTTTGGACACACATGCACACACACCTGGCATATTTCTGAAGCTGCCAGATCTGGGACACGAACTGTGTAGTCAGCCATGTGGGATCCAGCACCTTAACCACCGTACCACTGGCTGGTCCAAGATAAAGCTTTTTAAATAGGGGAAGAGAGGAGACCAGCAGGTGGCGTGGTGGTTAAGGTGCTGAACACTCCCACATGGCTGACCATGGTTTGAGTCCCGGACCTGGTGGCTTGCTTTCTGACTTCCCCTCTTTCTCTGTGTGTCTCTCTCTGGTTGAACTGAAATAGATGAATAACACTTAAAGAATAATAATACGTAGGGGAGGAGGCTTAGGGTGGCAGAGCAGCGAAATGGGACGCTCTGAGGCTGACCCAGAAGCTGTCCTGCTTCCTCCATCTCCCATCCTCTGTGTCTCCCTGTCTTTTGCTTGAGAGTGCACATGCTTTTTGGCAAATTAAAAACAAAATTGGGGGGAAGGAAGCAGGTGATGTGATAGTTAAGGGTGTTGGACACAAAGCGGTCTGTGGTTCAAGTCCCGGACCTGGTGGCTTGCTTTCTCACTTTCCCACTTTCCCTCTTACTCTGTTCCTGTCTGGGCAAATTTAAATAAATAAGTAAATAAAGAAATAAAGTTAAATAAAATAATTCTTAAGAAAAACAATTGGAGCCAGCAGATGGCGTAATGGTTACATTGCTAGACTCCCATGTTCGACTCCTGGGCCTGGCGGCTTAAAACTCATGCTGGGTGCATGCGCGTGTGTGCCCAAGATCCCGCGAGAAGAATGGAGGAGAAGGGACTGCGGCGTGGCCATCCCCCAGGGAGGAGATGCCTCCCTTTCTGTCTCTCTGGCCAGTACACATGCTCTATAGCAAAAATCTCTCCAAATCGAATGAATAAATAAAAATAGGGTTGGGCGGGCAGATGGCTGTGGTGAAGGACGCTGGACTCCCACAGGGATGACCACGATTCAAGTGTGGTTCAAGTCCCGGACCTGGCGGCTTGCTTTCTCACTTTCTCTCTCACTTTGTCCCTCTCTGATCAAATTAAAATAAATAACTAAAGTTAAATAAAATAATTCTTTTTAAAAAATCATAAAAATAAAAATCAGGTCAG